GGTTTTGGCGATGACAGGCACCACCTCACGGTGGTGGCGGTGATTTCTCTCAGTTTCTCATCAAGCAGCAACACACCACATGAATTTGAAACAACAACGCCCTTGAATCCACATGAGACACGAACTCGAACGCCCCTCGGGTGGCAAACGGTGACCGGAGCAATAACACATTGCATAGGCGGCGACAGCGGCGAACCTGTAACAACGTAATAGAAGAAGAACGGGGAGAGAAAGGGGGGTCATGACTCCGACTGGTGAACAGAAACAGCAACAACTCATGTCCCTTAACTGCTCACGACCCCAACAACCAAGGGGCAGTCTTCGTAGGCAAAAAAAAGGAATGCAGCGGTGGCGTTTCTTGTGGTTCTACGGTGTTTGTTGACGAGGCAGGAAGCGGGCTGGGCTGTCGGACTCGATGATCCTAAAAAGGGGTGGCTAAGGAGGGCTTCTTTGATGGTGGCTGCTACCGGAAGTGAAGAAGGAGGTGGCAGCCGGTGGGAGACATAAGGGTGGAGGGATGCGGCTGTAAATGGTCGATTAGGGTTAGGGTTTGATTAGTAAATATCTAACGCCCTTAAGCATTTTACCATAATGTCACACTTAGTCCCTCCCTTCATATTTTCTTTCATAGTCAGCCCATATTTTACCCTTTTAACCCCATCCATGTAAAATCTTTACAATTCAGCTCTATATGTTACCATTTAGTCCCTAAGCCTCCAAAATCTCTTCAAATTAAGTCCCAATATATTACCAAGTATTCCCTGCCCTCATAATTATTTACAGAACCAATCCAAAACCTAGACGTTTAGCCCCTGACTTCTAATACTGTAACAGTTAACTCCTCGAGACCAACTCTTATTATATAATTATTGATTTTAGGGCTACTATCCATTCATCAACTGTATCTATTTATTTATTTAATAAACGGGGTGTTACAACTCTCCCCTACTTAAATGAGATTTCATCCTCGAAATCAATCCTTACCATTCCTTACACGCCAAACCACTCAAATAACATGGCCACAATCCTGTGCACACCCTAGTCTTCCCCAGGGTAACCATGACCATCCTTCGCAAGGCCGTAAATTCTACATAGGAACGAATTCCTTGCAACAAGATCACATCTACTATGTCTGAAATCTGTTGTCTTTAGATGGTCTGAATCCCTGACATACCACTCATACTAAATCATTATTGTTGAACCCAGTCCACTTGTGTCTCAGCTGACTAGTCAACTTCTGATAACTCGAGGTTCTCACTATAGCAAGATCACTAAACCAAGTATCCCTGTTGGTTACATATACTTGGCCAAGGTTAAGCTAATCGCATTGTGAGTGACTCATCACTTCCTAATCTACCAGCTATTCTGCTCGTATGCATAAGCTAAAACACCATTACTAATACTGCCAATCACTGAAACTACCTGTAACAACATGCTGCTACATGAACGCTTTCCAAAATCAATTGAGGCCTTCCTATTCTCAATTCGTTAGTTAGTCATCTAAAATATCGGGTTCCAGCCTGGTCGTTGAGCTAAAAGGGCTCCCACATAGTCGTCTCACACGACTTCTGAGCGAAATCCTTCTCTGGAACTAGTTGCCACTAGTTATCATGTCACTAAGGCCCTAATAGCCTTCTAATCTAAATGATCGGATCCACGCGTCAAATCCTGACATCACCAAGTCCAAGGCTAAAAGTGATTGCCACCTAACCGATGGTAGCCTTACATCTCAAGCAATCTTATACATTCCATTGCTTCCCTGATCCGATAACTGTAGTGGCGCTCCTACAGTCTTATCACTGGCTCAAACAGGTCTAATCCATCTTGGTAATTTCCGAAATCCAATCCGTGGATTTCCATGTCGTCGCTGTTGCACCCAAACTGGTGGGTACTACTATTCCTTCCGCGTTCTAACAACACGCTCATGCCATCTACCAACTTAGTTAATGCTACGTCTACTCCCGTAGTCTCACAACACTCAATCATTATCCACCAACCTCAAGAATGTTACAGCTACACCGCAGTCTTACAACACTTTCCATGCTAACTGACTGCTAGTGAATGCTACGGCTACCCCCGTAGTTTTACAACACTTTCCATACTATACAACTATTAGTGAATGCTATGGCTACACCCACAGACATACAACACTCTAACACTATCTGGCTGTCAGTGAATGCTACGGCTACACCCATAGACTTACAACACTCTAACGCTATTTAGAAGCTAGTGAATGGTATGGCTACACCTGCAGACCTACAACACTCTAACACTCTCTGGCTGCTAGTGAATGCTACGGCTACACCCCCAGACTTACAATACTTTCCATACTGGGGTCGAACACGCACTTGACCTAACACACAAGTGAACTTGAATCCTAACTGGAGCTCTACCCCGGTTCCCGAAACCTGATGTCTAAGAGTCTCGAAGGCTGTCTGCTATTCAGGCCCCCAACGAAAGGCCACCGATTTCTTGGTCAGTCAGGTCAAAGGAACCGCAATTTTGGAGAAGTCTCGTATAAATCTCTGATAATAACTCGCTAGACCCAGGAAACTCTGAATCTCAATTGGAGACCTCAGAATCTCCTACTACATTACGACCTCTATCTTGGCCAGATCGACCAGAATACCCTTTTGGTTGAAAAGGTACCCAAGAGATCACACCTCGCACAACTAGACTCACATTTGGAGAACTTTACAAAAAAGTCTCTTCCCCACTTAGATTCAACTAATTCTTCACTATACGCGAGAATTGAATGATTCCTAATCCTTCTCGCTTTCTAGTATCCCACTGATGACAACCTGTGCTTACCAATGCTAGCGATTAATCACCGGTTAAACCTTACGATCGCCCATCCTCGGAAATCTTGATTAGTAATCTTGAAACCTGGTCCAGTTTGACACCTTAATCCATCTCCTATACGAAAATACCATTCTCTTGAACATCTGATGACCAACCACTTATACATCTAACACCCACAACTGACACTACCCTCTTCATGTTACCAGTTCTATACTAGCAACGGTAGTGCCTTGAACTCCAAAGTTCATCAATAGAAAATTGTCGACCACACCTGAACAATGATAGAACCCCTGAATGCTGACTTCACTGGAGAGCTATCGCTCTAATCCTGACCCAATATTCTCTGAATAATACTCCAACACAGATCCCGACAAAGATCCGGGATGAGAACGGTACACGTGGAATCCACTCCGCAAGATACATCCCTCTATAGGTTCATTAAGGACTCCTGACATGCAGATTGGCATATGACAATCCTTGATAACCCAGACAGTAGCAGAAACCGACCTAATATCTAACTTGTCCAAATTCACTCAAAATTCTAAAGCGGTACAGATTCCCAATATCTACTTGAAGTGGAAAAAGATGACATACCCGCGAACATCTAACGAAATCCTGATCTTGATGGCAGGGACCAACTATAGGATCTTCATTCCCAAAGGATTCTAAGGGTCCACAGACCTTGGGTTCCAAATGAACCCCTAACTCCCCTCGTGAGAATTCAGGCTCGAAAGGCCCCAAGACGATTACCGAGGGCTCCCAAAGTCCTTTCCCTAACTGAACGAAAGACCACTAATGTCCATTCCTATAATTCTGCAAGTAATCTCCGAGGAGATGAACTTCTGCGATCGCGCATCGACTGGTTCAGACTTTGCTCCTGAGCCAGAACCCAAATATGAGTTTCATTCTCGGGTGCTTAACACGATATCGAACTGACATTCCAAAGATCCGAATATACCCAAGAATCTTAATCACCCTTTACTGACATGACCAAACCCGCTACCTTGTAGTAGCTTAAACCCTTGGTGCGACAATCTCCCTTGTGCTCTTTCCCGTATGTGCAACACTAACTCCGACCCTGTTGTCCCTTCACCTGATGATCAGAAGTCATGGATCTCTACCCAGGACCCTCTACTATATGCACCTGGCACGACCCTCTCTTCCCAGGGTGCTCCAAATCGATCTCGCATCTGCAAACTCTTGGAAATCATATCCTTCTCAGATTCTCCAAGACTCTCACCAATTCGAGTATGGATCCTGTGATTTCACTAGTACCGTCCAAATACTACCTTCCACAGCTATCCATACTTTCCTCATCAATCCTCTCGAATTCTCCAAGTCACTTCCTCAAACTAGAACACCCAAGTCTCACTAAGCCTCACTACTAACCCACTGAAACATATCCTAGGCTTTCCTAGGTTCCTAAACTCACCCAGTCCTCATCTGTTGAAAGATTCCCAATAATGTCAACTAACTACCTCATGAATATAATTAGCTCACATTACTAAGATTCCCATAAAGCACAAAGCAAGTAGCATTTAGACAATGGAAAATCTAATCATCATATTCCAATAAACCTATTATATCCTCTACTCAAGAATCTATACATGCAATTTAAAGGCTCATACAATCAGCCATAACCTAAATAGGATATCATATCACCGACTGATCAGTACTATCATGCAAGTCATTAAACACATACAATAGGCATATAAGGCATCTTCCTAGATCCTTAGCCCTAATCTAGCATGCAATTCTCATACACATACAGTAGGCATATAAGGCATCCTTCCTAGATCCTAAGCCCTAATCTAGCAAGCATTTCTCATAAACATACCATATCATAACATGTATGTGTATCTTGGGGAAAATTTACTTGAGCTCAGCTGATTGCACGCATCATACACCTTGTTCTTTTCAAATTGCTTCTCTCTTTTCAAACTTCTTTTTATAAAATGATTTTACTTTTGAATTTTTTTCATACCAAGTAATTAGTTTGAGTCCTGACACACCTGAAGGTATATGCTAATCCCTCAAACAAAGGCTCTAATACCAACTTGTAACATCCCAAAATTCAAGGCCAAAATTTTCAATTTCAAAATAAGTTATTATAACACCAACAGTATAAGAGACATCCATCATATTATGTCATGTCAAAACCAAAGTCGAAATAATCAAACATGTTATCATAAACAATATTAGAGTGTAATCCCAAATATCTCATGTGCGGAAAAACCATAGTGTGATGCGATGCAATCGAGCCGGCTCCTTTCCTTTGAAAATGAAGTACCTGAAAGCAAAACTGAAAACTGTAAGCACAAAGCTTAGTGAGTTCCCCCATCATACCATATACTATAAAATCTCATAGCACACATACTGCCAAGAAATCCTAGGGTACCCGACCTACCAATGTCAAGCCATTCTGGGGTGCCCGACCTACCCATGTGAAGTCATTATGGGGTACTGACCTACCTATGTCAAGCCATTATGGGGTGCTGACCTACCTATGTCAGGCCATTCTGGGGTGCTTGCCTACCTTCTGGTCTATCTCACCCAGTCACGGGGACTATTTCACCCCTATTACTATTACATAGTAACATATCATAAACATGTTGTCAGACATATTTGGGTGTCCGACCTACCCTTCGGTCCTAACGACCGAATCGGGGGACTATTCCCCTCCTACTACCCTTATCACATAGAACATATCATACTGGCACACTTTTCTTGTTTGTCCGTATGCTTGACCAAAGACCTTTTCTGGTACATCTATTTTCATGGGCAATCTTTTAAATTCCTCCTTTAATGAGTCTAGAATAGAAGAATGAAGGTTAACAAGTTGTACTACAGAATGAAGGGAAATAAAGTAATTTCCATACCAGATACAGTTGTGTTCCCTGTTTCTCTTTTGTTATAATGAAATTTCCCGAGGGCGTGGAACAGGGAGAGAGTTTCAACTCTGCCACATGATAAAGAGCACCCATCATCCAAACAATTGGAATTTACGGAAATACCCTTGGAATCTGATTTTCAGATTGAAGTACCGTAAAGATGTGATTGTGTTTCTGATATCACATCCACTTGATTTAGCTATAGCATCAATCTGTTCAACTTTTATTTTAAGTTTTTCTTCCCTACAAATTCTTGAAAGCATTTTTGTGATAGGAGTTTGTGGGAGTAGATGTGTTCCATTCGTATACTGTGACTCCAACTCCAGGAAGCACCTTCTTCCTTTAACTCAGCAATCACTTCCCTGCAGGGGTAATTCTTGTTGTAATGAAACTAGGATTCTTCTTTATTGTAAAGAACATGAAAATGATTAGGAAAAAGAAGCATACTTGTAGATTGGAAGGATTTTATCAAGAAGAGAAAGAAGATCAAAGGTTTTCTCGACACCCTTTGCAGGTTTTGACAGCAATAAAGATAGCCTGCTCCAAGTTGGAAATTCAGGTCACAAAAAATTGTTTCTTGCATTAGAAGAGGTTTAAAGCGAGGTAACTTGTGAGAACTTCCACTTACACTGCCTAAAATTTGCTTCAGTTTCTGATGCAATTCACCTGATACGATGGATTCCCATTTTTTGTTGCAATCTTGTTTGATTCTCTAATCCAATCGAGTATGGGTTTACTATAGTCTACAACTTTGCTTTCCCCTAAATCATTGTAAAATATATCCTACAATTACAAAAACATAATTACTTAATAACACTAATATATATGTATGAGTATGAATAGAGAATTACTTACTTCTATGAGGAAATATCCAGATGGAGTATGCTTTTTGGTTAACTTCATAATCTCATCAGTTGAACAGTATATGTTGTCTCTCAGTTCAGTTAATAATTGTTGTCCAAGAACCAAGATTTCTTGATTCTACAAACAAAAAAATTCCAAAACATTCATCCAAAATATAATAATTACAAAGATATATTATAGGAGAAGGTTTGTTTTGTTAATGTTTACCTTAACCCATGAGCATTTGTGATTATAGACCTCTATGCAAAGAAGGATCTCATTATCATCTACAGGTATTGGTATTTTTTTCACGAGTGCTTGATGATTTCACCTGATAAAAATGCAACAAAATCAAGAAAAATAAGGTCTTTGACAACTCCAAATCATGGTTGTATCCAACAGACCACTGCACATATTCATTAGGATTGGCCAATAAGCATTCTGCCATGACATCCCTATTTTTTCATATTGAGAGCAGAAGTACTTGTATGTGCTAATTTCTGTAACAATTTGAAGATAAGAAAAAAAACATGATTCTTATTTATTACACTCACTTTTGGCATACGATTGATAAGCATAAGAGACTAAAACTTGCCTTTCCAGAAACAGAGGAGCCAGCAAGTTTCTGGTAAATAGGCCATTTTAACTGTTTGGCTGCATCTAAAGCTTTTATTTATCCTCTGGGTCTGATTATAAACCAAAGAAATGTCAGTAACTGCAGAAAAAATTCAATTAACAATGTGAATTTAATGTAAGACCTTTGGCATGACTAAAACTAAAGGACATATCATAGCCGCAAGCTCTTTTGCATATTGTTCTGAGCCTTGAAATCTTGAAATTACATGCTCCACATCTAACATGCTGACATCAGCTGCTAAAGTTGTATCATTTGATGCCTCTACAAGAAAAAATAAAGTTAACTATAATGAATGCTTAAACTTAGACCAAAATCTATGTCGACTATCAAATACAAGGATAGAGAAAACTTACTTGATACTAATATACTGATACACCTTTTGAAGACCATCAAGAAGATCTGTATTTTTTATAAACTCAGACAGTCTCCCCATACTTAATGCTGCCTGAACCACGCTTAGGTCATCATCATATAGTCATCGCAAGAGAGCATCATTTATAGTTTGAAGCTTCTAGAAGATCCATAGAAGAAATATTAGAACAAAAGCACAAGGAATTATTTACCTAAATGTTGACTGACTGCTTCAAATTATTGATCTAAAATTGCATCACATTAACATATCACCTGTGAATTAGAAGACTTATCTCCAATCATGGGGTCCGCATCCAAACTCATAACATTAGCACGTCCCGAGCGATGACAAAAGTTCAGCTACCCAGGAAGATGCTAAGACCGGAGAAGAACTCTTTTATGAAGTTCAGCATCACGAGATATTACATGAAAGGAGGGGGTGTTTAATCCCTTTAGGGTTTATGAGATGGCGTGGGTGTTTAAGTCCTTTAGGGTTTATGCTTCCCTGTGTGTACCAAAGATTTTGCAAAAAAGGCGGGTGTTTTTGTTCTAATATTTCTTCTATGGAATCGCAGGTTGGGTTTTAGGTTAGAGAGAGAGAAAAGAAGATGAAGACCCTAGGCTTCTTTCTTGATAATTGGAAACGGAGGGGGTTTTAATTTTTCAGGGTGGGTTTTAGTTTTTGGGATTTCATTTCCCGCTTAAAACGTGTGTTTTACTAAAAAATATAAAGCGACTGTGTTACATGACGCACATTTTATGATGGGCGTCCTCCGTATTTCGTTTTTTTTTTTTTCTTTTCTTACACTAATTTCAGGGCACGTACAATTGCGTGTCCTCATCCTTCAAATTTTAGAAGAGATAACATTGTTTTTTGGGCGCACGCTTTTGCGTATCATAAATCATTGCGTGTCATTGCTTGCGCGTCATTAAAGGGTTGTTTTCTAGTAGTGTCCCGAACTATCAATATCAAAACATCACCCAATTAATAATTGGGTTCCAACACATAACCATAAATACATACTTGGGGGTAAATACTAATTTACCCCTCACTTAGCTTTATTCAAGCCCAAGGCCCAATCCAAAGGTCCAAAAGTCGACTGTGAGTCAAAGCCCAACATATGGTCCAATTTTCCAAATTGGGACCAAACCTTTACAAGGTCTTACCAAAAGGCTCAAGCAATTAGTCATGTCCAACATTCTAATGGCCGAATATCACAAAATCATAAAGGCCCAAACTATGGCCCAATTTTCCAAATTGGGCCCAAACCCTCATGATGGGCCTTACCCTAAGCCGATCAACATATTCTAGTCCATATGATTATTCTTGGATGACCCATTAATATTCCAATCATCAAGGCCCAATAGAAAGTCCCAACGATAAACCCAAGTGAAATTAGGGTTTTCACATGAAATGATGATTAGGGTTAAGCGTCCTTACTTAACCCATTAAGGACTTAATACATTAAGTCCCACCTGGCCTTAGGTTAATTCCAATGGGTTATTAATTAATATTTTAAGTTCATTAAATAATTCTGATGCGGTCCCGATAAGTCCCAAATTAGGGTTTCATGGCATTAGGGTTTTCCAAACCCAAATTAGGGTTTCCAACCCATATTACCCAATAGGCCCAATAACTAGGTCGTTTGACCAATTAGGGTTCATTAGGCCCATTATGATTCGACTAGGCCCATTAAGGTTTCGCTAAGCCCATTAGGGCTTCATTGGGTCCATTAGGATTTCAAGCATCCCAACCAAATCAACACAACAAGGCAAAGAACACCGCCACCCGACACGGCGGCCGATGGCGGCGGCCACCACCTCACGGTGGTGGTTTTGAGTTTTTTTCATTATTTTTATTGCTAATACATTTTACAACCCGAATTTCAAAAGCACACACACTAACATAAGTACACAAACAACCACTCTAGTGGTGGCCAATGGTGGTACACGGCGACAAAATAGCTATAACTGGGGGCAACCACCATGGTTGGCTGCCAAGTTGGTGCACTTGCTTTTTGGTGACACAAACATCCCAAACAACAAACATCGCACACCAATAGTGGAAAATACAGCCACATACACATGCTCTAGTTGCAAAAATGACCTAGCCACCCTCTTGGTGGCGTATGGCGGGTCGGCAGCAAAGGTTTTGGCGATGACAACCACCACCTCATGGTGGTGGCGGTGGTACCTCTCAGTTTCCCATCAAGCAACAACACACCATATAAATCTGAAATAACAACACCCTTGAACCCACGTGAGACACGAACTCGACCGCCTCTCGGGTGGCAAATGGTAACCGGAGCAATAACACATTGCACAGGCGACGGCGACGAACTTGTGACAACGTAACAGAAGAAGAACGGGGACGGAAGGGGGGGAGGTCATGACTCCGACCGGTGAACGAAAACAGCAACAACTCACGTCCCTTAACTGCCCACGACCCCGACGACCAAGGGACAGTCTTCGTCCGCAAAGGAAGGAATGCAGTGGCGGCATTTCTGGTGGTTCTACGGCGTTTGTTGACGAGGCAGGAAGCGGGCTGGGTTGTCGAACTCAATGATGCATGAAAGGGGTGGCTGAGGAGGGCTTCTTCGATGGTGTCTGCTACCGGAAGTGAAGAAGGAGGTGGCAGCCGGTGGGAGACATAATGGTGGAGGGATACAACTGCAAATGGTCAATTAGGGTTACGATTTGATCACTAAATACCCGACGCCCTAAAGCATTTTACCATAATGTCACAGTTAGTCTCTCCCTTCACATTGTCTTTCAAAGTCAGCCCATATTTTACCCTTTTAACCCCATCCTTGTAAAATCTTTACAATTCACCTCTATATGTTACCATTTAGTCCCTAAGCCTCCAAAATCTCTTCAAATTAAGTCCCAATAGAATACCACGTAGTCCCTGCCCTCATAATTATTTACAGAACCAATCCAAAACCTACACGTTTAGCCCCCAACTTCTAATATTGTAACAGTTAACTCATTTAAACCAACTCTTATTATATAATTATTGATTTTAGGGCTACTATCTATTCATCAACGTTATCTATTTATTTATTTAATAAACGGGGTGTTACAAAGAGGACATGGAATATATATATATATATATATATATATATATATATATATATATATATATATATATATATATATATATATATATATGAAAATGATGTAAGTTTTTAAAATTTCTAATTAATCTAATTTAGGGTACGCCAACCATAACTCCCTTCGTTGTCGTTTTATCTTGGCTTCTCTGTTTCAATAGGTGATTTAGGGCATGCCATCAACAACCATTTTACATCTAGATCTCAGATCTATACTCTGTTTGCAGATCTAAATTTCGACAACTCTTTTCTCTTCTCCAGTGGTGATATGCAAAAAGCTGAGAAAGTAGATAGGACACAAATCTAGGGTTTTGATTCTACATCCCAGTCCCTCTGGATTTTGCATTGGTGTAGGGATTTCATGATTGATTTTAGGTATTGCAACTTCATCTCGAAAATCAGTGTTGATTATAGGCTCTAGATTCTGGTTCTAGTATTAAATTTGGGTTTGAATTTTAGATTTTGGTTATAGTATCAAATTTGGTGTTGACAGGTGGTGGTTGGTGAAGGTGCCAATGGTGAAAGGAGATGGTTGTTGATGACGATAGGAGATAGCTGCCCGAGTTGAGAAAGAGGACATGGAATAAAAGGAAAATGAGAGAGAGATATATCGAGAGATGAAAATGATATAAGTTTTTAAAAATTATAGTTAATCTAATTTAATTGATAAGTTATAAATAAGTGAAAAAAATGGCAATATAGTCTTTTAAAAAGAAACGAGGGACTAAAATGATAAATTTAAAAGAAACACGGGACTAAACATGCTTTTGGGACACTTAAACGGAAACCACTAATGGCTAATGGCGATAGGGACTAACCGTGCAAGGAAATGGAAACACAGGGACAATCTGAGTTAATTTTTAAAAATAGGGACTAAACGTGTTTTTTTGGTACCTAACCGAGGGATGATTTGTGTAATTCGAAAAATGGAAACCGAAAAATGATGGACCACTGCAACCAATGCTTTATAAAAAGGTTACAATTTGTTTTAAAGAAAAAAAAAGAAGAGAGAGGAAAGAGCTTAGGCTAATCATTTATTAAGTGGGCTTATAATTTTCATATGGGCTACATTTATACACTTGGGCTTTGACTATTTTTAGATGGGCTGCATTAAATTCACCTTGGCTTTTCTTTTAGGCTTGTGCATTTTATTGGACTGTCCTAACAACAAGTCAACAACAAAATGGGTCAGCTTAGAAAATTAAAAATTAGCCAATTGACACTCGAATGTTGTGATTTTGTCCAATAAATTCAATTTCCAAAGATGCAGTGCGGTCATATACACTTGATGTTTTCAAAAAAGAAAAAAAAAAAAAAAAAAAAAAAAAAAAAAAAAAAAAAAAAAGGAAGGAGAAGAGAGTGCGCTACTATTGCTACTCCATGAAGCATTTCAGAATATGATTGCTAGAAAAGCTCAAGGTCTACCTTCTTTCTTTTCTCAAGTAAATCTGTATAATTTATATATTATCTCAATTTAGTAAAATTAATTAAAATATTTGCTAAAACATTATTATGACAATCGTGGCATGCATTTACCTTTAAAGAGTTAAGGTACTTATGCAACAAATACTAACCTGCTACATAGTAGAAAATCTTTTTTACTACATCTTATTTCCATCTTAAAGATTCCACGTTTTGATAGTTGAATACGAAAATAGTTATCGATTTAATCAAACCACTTTGCCATTTTGGGCGCTTAGTTAGTTGCTAATTACATGAAACTCAAGAATTTACCCAGTATATGAGTAGCTTGCCTTGTAGGCTTATACAAAGGCACATGTTGTGAACAACTTCTAAAACTGCATGCTTATATACCTTAAATGTCATTATTATGCATTATGGAATTAGGTAACTTACTATTCTTGTTTACAATGACATGTACAAACGAATGAGGCTCGAATGTGCAAAAACAAGTCAATATCATAT